GGTAGATGTTAGAGAAGTAATCGATGACGGTTACGTGTTGGTGGTTTTTCTTCCCTAAGTGATCCGTATGGTGTGTCGGCTGTTCAGAATAGAGCGATGGTAAATGGTGCTGAGTTGCTGACTGTGAGTACCAGCTACAGCCTGTGCAGTTAAAATGCGGTTGTTGCATGTCTTAGTGTTTGGATGTTAGGCTGTTTCCGGGCGTTGTGCTTGTCAGGGCTTGAATGAGGTGGTGGTAGTGGTGTGCCTGCGGTTGGTTCGTCCAGGGCATAGATGCAGGTGGCTGTAAAAAATTACTTCTCCTCACAGGCAAGGTAGGTTGGGCCCCTGTACTGCTAATTTAAGGGCATTAAGGTGAATTTAAGGTCCAGTGTACTTCTAAGCCTGCATTTAATGCACGTTTGGAATGAAAGACTTTTAATTTTGTAAAATGAAACAAGGTAGGTTGTGCCTTAAACAGTGAAAAGATGCAAAAAGTAATCTAAATGTAGATTTCTTAAAATTCAGTCACTGATATATGGCTGCAGCAGATTTGTGATATTTTTATTTCTCTTCTGAATGTAAATTGTAGCTGTGTGGGTTAGAGAGGAAATGGAACTTAATATTGTGAGCAGTCATGGCTGTTTGTGTCCTGCAGCCATTTGTTCTGGTCTGCAAGCCTTATTTACTGCTAGTCTATATGATACAAAGTGCCAGATTTATACATTCTTCAGGATGGCCTGTGGCTTATAGCCGACATCTGTAAGATGTAACACGCAGTAGGAGAAGGGGCTGACTTGTTTTGAAAATATTTGAAATAGTATTTGTTGCAAGATTAGTAGACCTTGAGCAAAGGTCTCTCACATCCTGATAACAAAGGGGACATTTTTCCAGGAAATATGATGAATATGTCTTAGTTCTATATAAACTATGTATTTGATTGTACGGGATGCATGCTAGGCAGATATACTCCCTTGTGCATCTGGCATCGTAAGTAGAGAATGCCTGCTTTCTTAAACTCCAAAATGAGTCGTTTCCATAAGCCATAATTTTTGGTATCATATATACATCTGCTGTGTTTTCAGATTTTTCAATTTGCTGTTGCATACCTTTGTCTTCCCATGCTTTTTACAAGCCTTCCTGAATCTCTGCAGTAATCTGTACTCTGAAACATGAAACTGTTACCCAGACCATAAGAGGTTATCTAAGGACATTAGATGAGCTCTGCTATAGTGCCTTCAGATGCTAAAGTGTGTGTAACTACATTTGAAGTATTAATGGGATGATGGGTTTGTGAAATTGTAAAAGGTACAGTAAAATTACAAAGAGATCTACAGGGCTAGTAAATGACTTAACAAGTAGGTGAAATAAGACTACTACATAGGAAGGACAGGTTCCTCTGCTGCGTGTTACAGTCCCTTTTTTATAGACTTGAGCAGCTGAAGGGGTGGATTGGGCTGTCTTGCAGATTCAACTGAAAATTAACACTGTCTGTGGGCTAGTCCCCATGTGGATTGGTAACCAGGTGGATAGATGGTTAGAGTGTGGGGGCTTTAGTTATGTAGCTAGTGAAAGAACAGAGAAGGTAGCATCGCTTCTGATGGCAACACTGCCTTAAATTAGTTTTGAAAGGTTGTAAACCACAGTGAAGTGGATATTTGTGTATGACTTGAAACTGCAGTACCCTTAAAATTATAAGAAGCTGCTGACTACGTGTAGGTGTGCTTATACAAGGGAAAACTTAGGCCTAGTAGGGAGAGGATTAAAACATTTGGAACCCAGATCTACAAGTTTCTGACTAGGTGAGGCAGCTCTGAAGTTAGCCTTGCTTTGAGCAGGAGTTGGGTTCAAAAGAGCTGTAAAAATCCCTTCTGACCTAAATGATATAAATACTTTGAGATAAGGGGCTGCATCTTAACTGTTACTCTGAAGGTTAATACATTTGCTTGTGGTTCATAGGAAAATCTATGTTGAAGTTTGCTGGAGTGGTGGAAGGCTTGTTACTTGATTAACAGAATTTTCTTTAATTTCTTGAATTCTCATCGATTTTTAGGGCAAACAAACATGACTGATACAGATGAATCCCAGGCTTCTGTCTCCGATTACCCTGAAGCCCAAGAGCTAATACGGCACAAAGAACCACGTAAGGCACGTGCATGTGGAACAAATACACGAATGGAGGGTTCACATTCAAGGCAAAAGAATGCTGCTTCTGAGGAGTCTTCAGATGAGCTCGATACTGTACATAAATCATCAGCTGCTTCAGCTGAGGTTTTGCTGGACAGCAGTGATTCAGAAATGTGAGTCTATTTCTAGTTTAGAACTTTTCATGTGAAGAGCCTGTGTCATACATTGTACAAGTATACATTCTTTTGAAAGTAATTATTATTTTTCTCTTCTTCAGTGATCTCTCTGCTGCTAGTGGCAGTGAGTACCATCCAGAGTGCTCCATTGCACCTGCAAAGCAAAAAGGGCGATCTCGGTCTTCACGGCAACAAGCTGAACTTGTTGCAGGAGTGCCTGAGAATGAAAGCTCCTCAGATTCTTCTCTGTCCCCTCAAAGTCCGAAATCATCGGAAACTTCCGAGAAGCAGAAGTCAAAACTCAATTTGAAAGCCATTTTTGCCTACCACTTCAGGGGAAAGAAGTTTAAGGCTGCTGCACATCGAAAGTACAGGGTTGGCTCAGGGACGAAGAAGAAAAGGAAGTATGAGAGCACACAGATGCCTAGGGGGAGGCCACCCCTGACAGCCTCACCTCAAGAGCAAAAGAGAAGGCTTCTAGACAGAGGTCTTCGATTCCCTTTTTTTGAAAAACATTATGGAAAGAAAGATATTCCCTTAAAGATGGTTCTTGGCTATGAGGTGAGTGTTTTGTGGGAAAAATATGTTATTTTTCTATTGAGTCTAAAAATAGTGAATTTAAATTGGCTTCTGCCTGATGTGCTACAATAAAACAATGAAATGGTTTTTACTTCTGTTAAACAGGACATTTGATGCTGTCTGATTAACACCTTTAAAACAAACACAGCTAAAATATGGTTGTCAATGTAATACTACAGTTCATAATATAAATGCTTTATATTGGTACTGTTAAGATCTCACTTGATGCATGTGTTTCTTTAGCAAGCAGCTGCAAAGGGATATTTCCGGTACATTGAAGTGCTTAAATATGAAGAACATCTTAAAAAAGCTTTGAAAGCCCTTCGGGCTAGTGAAGACTTGGAAAGAGAATGTCTGGCAGTACGGAAACACAAATATTTAGATGATGAAGGCCCCATTTCCCCTATTCAGGAGATGAAGTAAGTTCATCTTTATATTTTTAGGTGGTATAATACTTGCTTTTTTTTGTTCTTAACTGAAATACAAATTTGTGTGTATACAGGTAGAGGTATGACACCCCACCCCCCATTAGCTCTTGGTCACCCCAGCGTGTTTGCGAGTGTGGGGAGAGCACCAACACTGCTTCAGTTGCAAATCCAAAACATACCCATGCTGGCTGCTGTGTAGAAAGTTAACTCCATCCCAGCCAGACCAGTACAACCTGCTGCTGTTACAGTTGAGGAATTAGGGAAGTAGTACAGTTGCTTGTAGTGGCATGTGATTTTTGTGGCAGAGTTGTAAGTATATCAAATTCAGTTCCTGTCCTGCCCTTTTAACCTGTGTCAGCACTGTGTAACCTAAATGTGAGTATCTTCTTGCAAAAACATTGGGAACAAAAAGCTCAGCCCCTTGTGATTCTGTGCTTGTAAATGCAACTTGGAACTTCTCATAAAATGAAATTTTTAATCTGAAGATTGTTTCAAGTGGTGATTTGTACTGTCTTACTAAAATGACATAGTAGAAATGTTTAAAAAAGGTATTTCCTGAAATTAGTTCCTCTATAGTTACCCAAATAAGGAAGTGGAGTTTTTTATGACAGAAACTAAATGATTTTTTAAAATTTCCTTCTTTAGTAAGCATTGAAGAATCATCTTAGGTCTTTCTTTATGGTCAGTTAACTTTCATTCAATAAAGGGATCAGTAAATCAGCAAGAATAGTTAATATTATAAATATACTTAGCACCTGAAAACTAGAAGCCTAGAAGACAGTGTAAAAGTGCAAAGCTGTCTTTCAGATACTGTTCACTTTAGTAATCACACTGCTAATTTCTGTGAGTTGAGGTATTAGGGTGAACCTGTAAAATAAGTAACAATAATTCATTTGTTCTCTTCCAAAAAAGCAGAAGGTAAAAAGTTTTGTAGAACAAAGGCAGGTCAGCTCATCCAGACACAATTCTTCATATGAAATGAACACTAGAAGACTTTCTAGGGAGTTTTATGAATTTAAAAGGAACATGTGGATGATAGTGGAACTGAATTTCATGCTTGCGTTTCATGGCAATGTGGAGACAATATTTCTCAGTTATAATATCAGGAAGAAAGCTTTGGACTCATGTTAGATGAGGTCTATCGTCTTTATTTTCTTGATTGTATTCTGCTTGTTTTCCAACTTGCTGACTTTCTAGCTTGTTTGCTGGTGTAATCTTAAATATCTCAATAGTGCAGTTGATGTCTGCTACTAAATCTTTGCTCTGCTGCTAAACACTGCTGCTATCCTGCCAGTGTTGCTAATTAAGATGGAATTGTGCTGTCAGAAACATCTGCAAGCAACCTTACGTAGAAGTAGTAGTATTTACACCTACAGTACCTGTAGTACTTCTGTACACACTAAAAGATAGCAGGGGTTGTGGTAGGAAAATTGTTTACAAGTTTCAGGCTACTGTAACAGTACAGAGCTTGATTTGAATTTTTATATTTCAGTGGTGATGATGACAGCTTGAATTCTGATGATCAAGAAAACTTTGATGCCAGAGTAGTGGTAAGTAAATATTCCTTAACTTCAGAAATTCTAACCTTCTTGCTTCTCTGAGGTTAAAGAATTAGTCGATAGTGTTTTGAGTGCTTAATTCTTGAGATTAGATGCAGAGTTAACTGTGTGATACCTGTGAATCCTGATCTGTAATGCAGAAGGAAGTTTAGTGAGTCCACACTCTTCTGAAATAATGCTGTAATATATAGGATCTCTGGAATTCTCTGAAGAGATCTTCAAGCTTGCGAAGTTACTACCAAAATATTTAAAAATATCTCAAAACTAGACTTGTGAATACTTCTGTCTTCCATTTTCTTAGGAGAACAGCTCTTTCATTATAAGCAGCAAAATTCCAAATAAGAAAAAATCAAAGCCAGAAACAAAATGTGCAAAATCAAGTGAAGTGATCGAAATAGAGGACGAAGAAGACTAAGCTGCTGAGAACTCTGGTAAACAGAAAACTAATTAATGAGGTGGCAGTGGACACTCTTCAGATACCTTTTTCATGACATTACATATTAGTCTGAAGTCACTGCTGAGCCATCAGCCAGCTAAGTCAGATTTGGTTTAAGGTGAGTATATTGGCCTTGTGTCCAAGAACCACTTATACTGTCTTTTTTGCTAAGCTTTTAAGTGTCTTCTGTGGTGTCCTGTATCAAATATATAATATCCTTGATTCAGTGACTGATAATCTTGTTGAAGTGCCAGCTCCTTTTAACCAATGTATCAGTTTTTGTAATAAAAATAGGAAAACAAGTTCTAAGTGTTGTAACAACAGCACTGTATTTATTTACATACATACACATGCTCAAGTTACAAAGGGCAATTTCAATGCCTTTCTTTCATAGCTGACTTTTTTGAGTGGTACTTGAGATACTTTTCTGTGTTTTAAGGAAACGCAGGTTATGCTTTGAAATACTTCAGGAACTAAGTAAGGGTTGAAGACAGTTGAAGCTTAATGCAAATCGAGTGGCAATGTAAAATAAAAATGCAGAAGTGGTTAGCTTAGACAAAAGTATATTGCAAAATATGGTTAATGCATTTTAATGATAAAATCAGTTTGTATGATTGAAGTTGTCTGTTCCACGTGGAATAATTTCAGAAAACAAATTGTCTGCTTCTGAGTCTAATACAGTATAGTTATTAGCTGTAAGTTACCTTAAAAATAACTGTAGCCACATAGTGAATCTTGGTTTAAAAGATTCTTTTTTACCCTCTTGCCCTCCTCTGTCCAAAATAGGTTCTGATGTGAACATGACAAAGCAGAAGATGAAAGCTCTTTGTAATGACAGTACTTAACGAGCATTGCCCCAGTTGCAAATACCTTTCTCAAGGTGTTTTAGACAGTTGGAAACATGCCTTGTGAATGTTCAGGAATTATCTGAATACAGCTAACTCCTAGATGACAAGGCTGTCTTAGTAGAAATAAAAAATTGTTGAAAAGGTTTGTGAATCAGCAAGATTTAAAAACCAAAGGGTGATCTGCATCACTCTAATACTCTTAAAAACCAAACTGCTGTCAGCAACAAACTCACAGCTGTTCAGCA